ACACATTGAAATCTCAAGTTTATTGTAAATTAATTAGTTAGATATTTTGTGCACAATGTTGAAAATACCTCAATTTGTAGTTTGTACATATTTAGAATATTCTATTTTTATGTTTATACACTTTTTCATTCCACACTCTCTTTTAATGAAATTTCCCCTTGAACGCTCTTTCTCTTTACATGCAATGCCCTTTCAGGGAGTGGGCGAACCTGGCTCTTCACAGCTTCCTGTCTTTTGTTGCTCTAAGTAATTCTTGCTTCTTTACAACCTCTTTGTTTTTGTAGTACTTGATCTACCAGCCATTGACTCAAACTTATCAAGTGTGTTACTTGCTGTATCCCCTGTTTCTCTTGCCTTCAATGTACCCTGTGAGTGTTAAGTTCTCTAATCCTTCTTTCCTCATTATTTGTCAAATATTCAGCTGCCTCTTTGTGATTTTTTCCTTGTATTTTCTATTCTCCTTAAAATTTCCTCGTTTCTCACATACTCTCTTTATTGATCGATAGAAGCCCATCTTTGTCACTTGAAATTTATTCTTATTCTGTGAAATAGCAATAGAGTAGAAACATTGGATCTAATGGGGAAAGAGGTAGAAAATAATCAACTACAAAACCGTATAAATGCTTTCCAACTTTATCAAAGTTGGGAAGAGGATTAGGCAGCTCCAGCCAAGACATGGCAACAATACTCTGTTTTTGGTCAGATCTGACTCTTGTAAAAATAAAGCATTGCAAAAAGAGTTGGGTACTTTCGATATAAGAAGCTGACCATTTTTACAGCATCTTTAGCAATGGATTGTGCATAGGAGTTCCACTTGAATTCTGGAGAGTTTCAATAGATGCTCAAAGCGAGGAGCCATTTTAAGAATAAGCCATTTATTGCGACTGATGAGTAGGGTCAGTTTGGTGATGAAAAGATACTAGCTTAGTTTTGGAAGTATTGAAAATTACAAGCCAGTTCCTCCTCCATTGAGTTGCATAAGGTCAGATAAGAGATCAGCTGCTAGGCTCTGGTCATCTAGATTTTGGGAGGTGCACCAACCTTGGCAAATACCTATCTTATATATCCTCATAAACTAAAATTCTTACATCCATAAATAACCCCATTCAGTAAACCTTTAGCTTCAGTGCCTCTTGGGACTTGTATTGGGTGAACAATGGCATTTAAAAAAATCTGAGGAAATTTTCCAGTATTCAAAGCAGTGAATCTTTCTTTCTTTTGTTTTTAATGACCCTTTTCAATCCCTTAATACCTGATTCAATTCCTGAAAAACATCTTTTACTATTTCTATGTGCTTTTAGATTTATGTGTCACACTTTTGTCATTTGTCACTATACTACCCAGATAGATGAATTTCTGCCATTAGTTGATTTTTAATGTCAAAATCATACCTTGGCCTTACTTTTTTTAATCACTACTGTATTCTTTTTTCTTAGTTAGTCTTTTCTCATTGCTTTTATCAACCACTTTGTCTAATAGTTCTTACAGCTTTCTTTCTGAATCTGACATAAACACTGTCATCTGCATAGTCTAAACTCTGATAGGAGATACATTGCTCAACTGCTGCGCATGACATTCTCACTTTTCATTATATTTACTAAGTTTAGCTTATTATGGCATAAAATACCAAAAAAAAAAAAAGCTTGTATTACATCAGTCTTATATGTGTGGAACATCTGCATTTCCAAAAATCACTATTTGAAACCCTGGCTTTCACTTGAGTTTGAAAACCAATCTGTAGGCAGGTATCTTAAATATCATGTTTCTTGACTACATAGGCAATCATAACATTCTATTTTTTCATCTTTATCTGTGGATTGCCATGACTTCTTGGGAAAGATAGTGAATTGATTTCTCCACGCTTTCTCCACAGTTTTGAATTCAAAGTTGTCCTCCTAGGCTGGCTGGCTCTCACCCAAGATTGAAGCTCAGTCTACCCTGCTATTTAAGTCATAGCTGGAGGGTGAAGAAATTAATGCATTCTTTTCCTAAGGATATTAGTACAAAATGAATGCAACTAACTCTGGCATAAATTGAATGATGCTTGCTGATTTCATTCTTATTTTGGTAGAAAGATTATACAGTAGATTCTCTTGGTTGCTTGTGTGTGTGTGTGTATATATATATATATATATATATATATATATATATGCACACACACTCACTCTTCTAAGGACCTTAGCCCTAACGACTTGATTTTATTCATAATATTAGATGCTTTGAAAATTTATTGCCATTATTTTGCAAAGGATTTTTTTTATCTTTATAATATTAAATAGCAATTTTTTCCATTACATTATGCACAATTCAATTTAAGCATTTTTTATTATTAATTTTATCTAATTTGTTGTTGCTGATGATAACTTATTTCAAACATATCACTTCATTTTCATATTTATTGCTTGTTGCTTCATATGGTTGATTTGTCCTAAAATTTTTCATCTCAACCAAAAATATTAGCAGTCCTCTTAAGCAGTAATTATTGATAATTTAAGAAAAT